CCCGTTCTCACTGCCTGAACAAAAGTTAAAATAAAATCATCAGTCAGGAAGAGAGGAGAGTTGGAGCTGAAAAACTTTCTTTCGAAGTTACACTTTCCCACTACAGAGGACAGCTCTGCAGGAAGATGTGATTGCATCCGACACCATCCTTACTAGGACAGCAGCCTGTGATCACACATGGCACTGGCAGCCAAAGAAGGGGGAAGGCAAGCAGGACTAGAGAAACAGTGGTTTCAGCAGGCACCACTTATAAGGCGTCCTACAATGGAAGGTCTGCTTTGAAATTCAGTTCTGTACAAGCACAGCGAGGCCAGGTCGCTGCAGTCCCTGCGCCTAGCACCAGTGACACATGAAGTGCAGTGCCATTTCTCACACCCCACACATATTCTGATGTGCACAGCACTCTGTGTGCAGCTACTAGCACCAGCCAGCTGGGACCACTGCCCCCTGTCTGAAAATCTTGCGGTCGTGCAGGAGTGGCCCCCAGGGGCTCAGCCAGGCACCTCACCGGGGYCACAGGCACTGCCCTGCCCTGAGCCATTGCCTTCGCGATGGCTGCACCTCCTAGGCAGTGCAGAACCTCCAGGAGCCACCAAAGCCTCAGCCCTCCTGTTGGCAAAACTAGTTCAGTCACCACAGCCGTCTTAGACGAGCTCTGTCCTTTCCTAGCCCCGAGGCAATCTCTCGGAGGCACTGGCTGCATGGTTCCCAAACGCTCCTGCCTGGAGCCATGGCTGTGCCTGGAGAAGGAAAGGGATTTCATTTACCTCCCAGAACACCACGCTGGAATGCAGCAAGGAGCACAACCCGCATGAACACACGTCCATAACCGCTCCTGACCCAGGAACCAGTAAACAAGTAGCTTTACAGTTTCCAGAGGCAGAAATGGCATTTTAGGCAAGCAATATTCTATATTCCTGCCCTGGTTTTACACTCTCTGTCAGGCACTGAGGCTGCTGCTGGAGAAGGGAGGAGACAACCCTTTGATGTGGCCCAGCACAGATATGCTTGCCCCTCATGACTATGTAGCTGGGTGGATGCTTTGGTTCTGGTGGCTTGTACTACCCTGGCTGCACAAACTAGGTGGCTAATTTTATTGCAGCTATTAAATTAAATTTTTAATTGTGCAAGCATTGGAAGATGTACTCATATTCATGAGGCTGGGTTCCTCATGAGCCACAGGCCATGCACGCAGGTTCATCAGGCTAAGGCTGTACAGAATGCAGCAGTCGCACTGGTGCAAGTTAGAAGAGTTCTGCACTAACATATAAAAGAGGGGGCTGGTGTACTGCTTACTTCCAAGGAGTACTAGCTCTGCTTCAGTCAGGCAGCAGGTACATGGAGAAGAAGAGCAAGAGAAGAGACATCCCTGCCCTTTCTGTCAGCCCCCACAGGGGCTTTTGGTTTGGGGGGGCTAAGGAAACTAAAGACATAAAGTAGTTGACAGTCACTGATAAAGGGGGCTCAGAGGACAGCAAAAGAGCAATTTGGAGGCAGAAATGAAGAGATACAGTTTTGCAGCCCATAGGCCTCAGCATAGAAACTCTCCTGCTGACTTGCTATGGCCATCATGTTTCTGCTCTAACCACAGTCACTGAATTCCTGCTAATGCCTCATCCTACATATGCCCCAACAGCTCTGTTATCCGTCACCTCCCCACATGGAGAACCCAGCTCCCCATTGCCACAGCTCTCGTTAATGCTGCTCTGGCTGCCTGATGAGGTAAGCGGCAACCAGCTCCAGAGCCCAGGTGAGTTTTGTAGTCAACGGGAGATGTTTATCCAACACAGAGGGGATGGAAGTGCAAACAGAGACAGTCTTGCTCCCCTTACAATTACTCCAGCATTGTACGGGGCCAGTCTCATTAAAGAGAGTCTCCCTGACAAGAATTAATCTGAAGTGACAATCCAGCGAGTTAATTTAACAAATAGGTCCAGGGCTTGGCCTGGTGCAAATTATAAGGGTCCATCTACAAGGAAAAATCTGAGCTTTTTCCAAGGAGGTGAAGGGTAGGAATGTGTTAAATCAGCTCTGTTCTGACCTGAGTCCGTGTTTTAGAAGGTATGGAGGAAATGGCAGCCTCAGGTCTCCTTGAGGGGCACAATGAAGATTAAACTTTCCTTCTGCACCAGTACCTTCTCCTTCCTTTTTCTGCCTCAGCCTCAAGTCACGGATGGGTTCCAGCTCATTAAGTGCACAGTAATTCTGCCACTATCCCCCTGTAACTGTAACCACCAGCCTAGCTCAGATCTTTCCTCCAGGATGCAACCTGCTTGCAATATTAGATGACTTTTCATTTCTCTCTAATTTTACAACAGAGCTCTGGGAGGGGATAAAATGCACAGAGAAAAACAAGCAACTTAAAAGGCTTTTTATTTTTTAAGCAAATATCTGTTTTGAGGAGGCTGCTTTGAATCCCTGAGCAGTGAAAAAGTGTTTCAGTTGGCATGCAGAGCCTCAGTGCCTTTCTGTGCTGCAAGAACACAGGAAAGAAAATACCCCAAGGCCTCTCAATCTGCCCACAATCAAACCACCACAGGCTGCAAACTCATTAGATTCACTTGCTAAGGTGAAGCATTAAGGTGGTAACAGCATGTGGACCAGTTGACTTGGAGGGAGGGAGGGAGGGCGGGCACCTTTCAAACCATCAGAACAGGCTTCTGTGGGGATCCTGCAGTTCCTTGGGGGCAACACTTTCCCTGCCGAACTGCTAGTCGGCACAACGCCACTGCACAGCCCACCTGATCGAGGCACTCCAGGAAATCCAGCCTATTTGCTGAAACACAAAGCAGAGGCTTTACGGAAAGCTGGCTCCACGCTGCTCTCGTATATGCTTTGCCTGAGTCAGTGGCTCCAAGCTGTCAGGCTGCTTAGTTTTAATCTAAGGTTAATTCTTACACTCCTGCAACCGGTGTGTCTRTGGTGCCAGCCTGCTGGCATAGCAGTCCTGGGAACCAGCAGCTCCTTTGGCACCTGTCTTGCTGGGAGCCTCCCTGCGTTGCTTAGGAAACCAAATTTTCCCAGGCTGGTTGCACTCCCACCCAGGAATGCCCAACAGTCCTATAAAGTAAAGCTACTGAACAGGAAGAGAAAGAACAGCCACAGCACCAACCAATTAATAAGCACACTTTTACTCTCATCCAGACCTATTTTCAGCAGCTGTAGCAAGGAAATTTAATTTGAGAGTTTCCAGGTGCCTTGCAAAGCATCTTGCTACTTAGGGATCTTCAAGTTACGTATGCCAAGAGCTCTTCAAGCAAACTGGGGAGAGTGAAATGAAACCCAGCAAAGCACTTCACAACCAGCGGGTGTCCCAGCTGGCTACCCATTCGATTGCAGCTYGGCAAAAGCCAACCCTGCTTCAGTGGTGAGGCTGGGCAGAAGCCTCCCAGTCTCACCAGCTGGAGGAGGTGCTGGGCTGAGCAGCTAGCTAAGTTTTCAGTCCAATGCAGTTGCGGAATGCCCTATGTAAGGCCTGTTATATGTGAGGAGAATATCCCACTCGGATCTCAGGAGGATTTTTATGCCAGCCCAGTGGGTACCTTGAAAGCAATGTATCCAGTGAGGAGGTTTCACAGACAGCCAGTAGCAGTGCATCCAGTCAGACAAACCCTTCTTAAGAGCTCTTCAGACAGCAACACTTCTAAGCTTTTGAGCGTTTCATATTCAGTATGTTACTATGTTCTGTTCTGCGCTCTGACACCAGAGCATCAGGCCACAAAGCTCAGCCCAGGCACCCCAGCATGGAGGGAATGGCATGACAGCAAGGCTTGTAGGATAACAAAGAGGGTGGCGGAGTAGGGAAAAGCTCCATGAAAGGTCTGAAGCTCTCTCACAGCTGTTTGGAGCACAACTGAGAGATTTCTGGGAAAGAGCCAGGACAGCAGGGCAGAGGGAGAGGGACAGCTCTAGGAAAGAGCAGGTTGGAGATGAGAAGAGGGTGTGATCTTCTGGGGTCAGGCAGGAAGGACATGAGAAGGGCTCTGTGAAACCTCAGTATGGCATTTGGAGGTAGAGACTCCCCACAAGGTGCCACTGGATTTGTAGGAGGAGAAGCAGGGGGCAATACTGTGCAAGTCTTTTCGAGGTTTCTCCCTACCTGTGCTTGACTTCAGTGGGAAACAAGTCTCCTCTGCTGCTGATTCTCTCTGCCATCTCTTATTCAGACTCACTCACCACAGACACCCAAACTTTTTTCTTTTTTTGAGACCCTGTCCATACACGAGACAGCAGGGCCACGGTACAACATTTCTCCTAAACAAGCCACTCAATAATCAATATTAAGCAGCAATGCCAAAAAAAGACACATCAATAGCAGTATCTGATGGGTGTGAACAAAATCGGGCGGTTAAACTCTCAGCCTCCTCTAGGTCACAACTTGAAGAAGAAATGTGATTTTTCCTTCTCTTAATCCTTTTCACTAGGAACTCAACGAGAAGCAGACACAAAATTACTTCTAAGCACTGTACAAAAGAAAAAAACTGCAGCATCACCGAAGAAGGATAAAAATTACAAATTAGTTTGTTGAGTTGCAGTGCTGATAACAGCAAAACTCAGCTAACAGGAAAGTGGTATTGTGACAAACTGCCTTCATTATTAGAGGCTCCCCTGTGTCCTGAATTATTATTAAGCACTGACAACGTGCTCTGCGCTGTTCAAGTTACAAACAAAGACTTTCTCACCCCAGAGAGCTCACAATCAAACASAGACATAAAATTGAAGCCTACTGTGCAGACCTAGAGCAGAGAGATGGGCTTGGATCTGTTTTAATTATTTTATTTGCTATCTACAGTAAACAAGCTTTTCCTTGCAAAATGTACATGCTTCCAAGTGATCATTGAGCAGCAGGATCCACTAATTTTAATTTTCCTTATTTTTATAAAATGCTGGAAGAATATAGGCACTTTGCTGAGCCGGGATAAAATTATCCTGTCAGGATAATGTGTTCTTTAAAAAAATCAAACATTTTCCCCTAAACTTTTCCAACAAGAAATGCCTTCAGATTTCCATCAGTTCTTACCCCACACCCCACTCTAGTAGAATTTCTCTTCAGGTTCAGAAAACCTTAAAACCCATTTCTCTTTCCATGCAGAATTTATACAATCCCACTAGCTTCATTAGCGTGATGGCACAAAAGCCCTTCTGCAATAGAAAACAGCCAATAATTTTTTCCTGTAGTTTCTGCCTGAGAGCTTTTCAGCTTATTCCTCTTATTTCATATGAGGAAGGAGTCTGGCATTCTATTTGCTTGAATCTTTGGCCTAGAAAATCTCTAACATGCACTAATGACAGTAGGGTTGTAAACCCCATTCAGCACCTAGGCTATGAGGATTCCAGTGCAGGGCAGCAGGGCTTTGAAAGCTCATGATCGTGCTCAACATCAGGCTAACAAATGAACACTGAGCTGCACAATCAGCCCGCCTCTCCCACTCAGTAGGGAAGGTGCAAGACCACCAGGACTTGGCTATTTCACTAACTTCAGCTCTTCACTGGCAGCAGACACAGATACAGCAGCCTGCCCTCTTCCCAAGGACATGCATTRAAACTCCCAAGAGCTGGCCTTACCTGCCTGACTTCCAGGCGGTACTTGAGGATAGGGTCCACTGCATCCGGCTCCTTCTGCGTCCATTGCAAGATGTAGGAGTAATTCTTGGATTGCTTCTGACTCAAGGTAGGATTAGGAGTGTCATAGTAAAACTCTGGGCTGTAAGCTTTTGCTGGAGAGAGAAAAAAAAGGGGGAGGAAAGTAAAAGGGTGTGCTGGAAGAACATAAACTATAAGAAAATGGGGTGCAAGTAGTACAGCTCTGCTCCCCTAACTCATCAGCTCACTTTTTGACATTACAGACAATTACTAAACCAGCTGGTGTTGCACCAGGCACTACACTGATATGCTAAAACTGCTCACACCACCGTTTTGTGTGAACCACTACTGCTTTAAGAGGCCAACCTACTGGGAGGGTTAACAACCCTGCAAGGCCAGTAGGGCAGGACCAACACCAGAAAAGGTGGTTCAGTTTGGAACCACCTCTAATCTTTCCTCTCTCATCTTTACAGTTTAGATTAAGGTAACCGCTTTAAACTGGCATTTTTCCTGTTTCATCTGCCATTTTATAGAGTCTCCTGATAAGAATCCCTGAAGAAAGATCATTTGGTCAGTAGGTCATATGAAAAATGCGATTTAGCACACATGGATCATGGCATTAAAAAGAAGACCTTGCTCCTTCAGCATCTCCCCTGCCTCCTTGCAACATGATAGCTCTGCAGCAAAGGAGATGCTGATCTTGACCAGGGTGGAAATAAGAGTGGCTTTTGCATGGGAGAAGACACCTTTTCTCAACCAGGGTTTCTCCTTAAAGACAGAGGGCAGCAGCAGGAAGGGAAGCACAGAGGAGATGATGTGCTAGACAAACACGATAGCTGAGAGGACAAGGGTTTTCCAAAATGAAAGAGCTTGCCAAACCTGCCCTTGGACCACTCTCACAGCTGGCATGGGATACAGCCCGATACAGCAGACATGCCTGGAACACGGCTTATCATGCTGGAAAAGAACAAGTTTAGCCCCATACTCAGAAGGGCTACAGGATCCAGTAGTCTACCTTCCCACTACGTGCGAAAATTATCCCTGAACGCCTCTATGCCCAAACAGATGAACTTAGGTTTAGGTGTTGTGCACAGTTCTTCAGAGCAAGACAGAAAGAATTCAAGGTCTTATCCATATATGCCTCTGACCTGTGTGAAATGACCTTCTCTTCTCCCTGGACACTTTGTCCTGAGCAAGGTAGGAACAGAGCTACAACCAAAACTCTCCCTGCTGAGTGCAGGTCCTGYCAGGGCCAGCACATACAAGAAACACATCTGGACAGGGAGGGTTGCTGGAGAGTGCAATGGACATAAGGACTCTGATGAGTCCTCTGCACACACTGCTACCTTTCCACTTGAATCACAGGCCCTGCCATTCTATGTGGCTATAATTAGGCTTGAAAGGATTCAATGTTTATTTTTTATGAACTCAGATGGATAATATTGATGTTTGCTTCCAAGTCCTTTTTTTCTTATTATTTTTATCGACTTAAATTTTTGCACAAGCAAGAAGTTCAGAATCATCTGAGAGACTAATTGCTGCTTATTCAACTTGTATTGACTGTGGAAGTCAAGCTTCATAATGGATTCAGAAATAAAATCAGAACTGATGATGAGCATCATCTTGCATAATATTAATAACTTATTGAGATAGAAATGGAAGCTTAATAAAAGGCCTTCTGACAGAAAAACAGCACATATACTTTTGGAACTTCTTTTCCAAAAGGTTTTATTGTTGGTGAAAAGCTTTTTTTCTTGCTTTCAACTGATGGGAAAAGCTCAAGGTGATGCAGTCAATCTTTCACGACTCGCCTATAGCTTGTGGGAGGGCAGGTGGTGACCAGTATGGGTGACCCTGACAACCTCCTCAAGGAATGTGGGCTGGATGTCTCACCATCCTTCTGAAGTAACAAAAGAAGCTAACATACCATCTGTAGAGGAAATTAATCCCGTTCTGGGCAGGTTTATGTACTCTGCTACCTGCACATCTCAACACCTCACAGTCACTAATGAACCACTGCCTCTCCTGTTAAATAGGAATGTTTATGGTCTGTGGTTCACAGAAAAGAAACAGAAATAAAAAGGGACTAAGCTTTTCCCCCAGTCACACAGGAAGGCAGAGCAGACTACAGAATTAAAACTCCTGCAAGTGCAGCAGTCTAACGACTGGATTATTTCTCAAGTTGCTGCACAAGCTAAAAGGTCTGTTTTTTTTTTTTTTTTTTTTTTTTTTTTTTTTTTTTTTAAAGCTATATAGGACAAAGGCAGAGATATTTGGAGGCAAAAAGCCAACATTCGATATCAATACTTTCAAAGTACAGAATAGAGGCAGCAAAACACATGCTCCCTGTGTTTCTGATGAATGTTTTCTAGGGATGAACATTGCTTTTTGTTGCACAGATCTTACCTCAGGGGGCACAGGGTACATGTGTCAGCATTAGACATTTACCGCATGGCACGTGAGATGGCATTAGACATTTGTCATCAGTTCCAGCAAGAAATCCAGATCCTGGGAGCACTCCCAAGCTTGCTAGGAACAAAGTCTGATGTGGTTGCTCACACTGGGGTATCCTTTACTATTATTTAGGCAGTGATATCAGAGTTGCAAGAATGTAAAGACAGAGCAGAGAAGGCCAAAGCGCTGAAGCAAAAGCCACTGCCACACAAATACTAAAAGGTCTAAAGGTGTGACAACAAAATCTTGAGAAAGGACCAAACAGAAGAATCAAGGTTTGGGCTTCCCCATTCTCCAAATACCCCAGGGTTACAGCATGCACTAAAACACAAGGTCAAAGCAGAGGAAGGGCTGGTAGATCACCTTTTCCAACCTCTGTGAAGACGTGCTTCAAAACCTGGCCTCTTTGCATACTACCTGGTCTTATTTGCTCAGCCCTATCTTGAAATGTATTATAAATTGGCCCTGGACTGAAAACCCAGTATTTTGACTGAAGTAACTTCCTATCAAGGCATTTTCTCCTGAGAGATTGTCTAGAAATTGGTGCCCAAGTCAATTCTGGGGTCATGGGAAAAGCAGATTTAATGATCAGCTGAAGTGACTAGGTCAGGTGTGTGGTTTTAAGATGCTATAACTCTGTCATCCCTTCTGGTAGTTGCTGAAGAGGAGTCTTGTTATGATGCTTGCTACATTCACAGAAAACTCAGCAGCAAAACCATTGAGTGCTAGTGTTTATCTTCATCTCATTTTTGTCCTAGCAGATATCATGATGAACGTGGGAACATCTCCATGGCTCTGCCTAACACACCTCAGGACGCCCAAACCTTTAAGGTCACTGCGAGGAAGCCACGTGCAAGCAGAACACGCAACAACACACACTGCAAACACACATCCCAATCCATCCTGCACGTCTTAGGTCTAACTACCTTCCCTGATCTCCCACCAGTGAGTGCCCTGTGACATACCAGATACTTGGAAGAGGCAGGTGGAGACTCCCACATCATTGGAAATGCTGCACTCGTAGCTACCGCTGGTCTCGCGGCTCACACTGTCCACCTTCAGCTCCGAGTAGTCCTGCTGCTCTGCGAGGGGCTGGGCCAGAAGGGTCCCGTTGAAGCGCCAGACGGAGGTGGCCACCTTCATGGGGCTGCCCTTGAGCATGGTGCAGCGCAGGGTGACGCTGCGCCCCATGCCCTGGCGCACGTCCTGGAACGCCGGCTCCACCACGGGCGGGACTGGGGACCCAACAAGAGCAAGAGACACGGGTGCCATCAGCGAATGGCATCTTGGCCAGCACTGCAGTGCCTCTGAAGAGAGGGGCACCTATTACGTACGTAAATTCTTAATTAAAACAGTTAGTATGAGGACAAGCAGAAGCTCTCYTTCCTAAAATAAGAAAGACTGCCTGAACACCAGCTGTTATCCTGAATGGGAAAAGGAGAGATGGAACAGTTTTTCAGCAGCTCCATTGCAACCCACCTTCTCTGGGGGAGCATCTGCTCTCCTACAGGCAACTTCTGTGCCCTACAGAGCACCTACCGCCTTTAAAGGTCCATAGAGCAGCTCCACAGCACAGCCTGACCTGAGAATCTGCAACTGGCAGCATGTGCTGTACACAGGCAGCTGTGCCACAGAACATAGGTCACACAGCATCCTCACTGCCATGAACACTGCCATGCCCCCCGCCATGGGGCCTCTGGTACACCAGTGCCTGCTCCCCATAGCTTGACCCAAGCAGGGCTCACCTAGAGACTTCGTCTTTACCACAGCCACCCTTATGTTGTGCAGTGTCCCCTCTCCTACAGACACAGCCAAAACTGTGGGTCTATAGCATACAATCAGCCTCTCCCCTCAGCAGCCCCCTATGACAGTGAATGATTGTTTTCCAGGTACCCATTCTCAAATCTCAACCTCTGGCTCCTTTATTGCAYTTAAACGTATTAAATCCAGCCCTTGTCTGAGCTCACATTGGCGTGATGAGTGGCATGGCCAGCTCATTACAGACGACTTTGCTAGCAATTTTCTCTCAGCAGGTGCTCCAAGCACCGACTTGCCCTCAGCTTGCATGTCTCCCACCTCACAGTGAGAATAATGTGAGTTGTTTGATTAGACCTAGTGCCATAAATGTGCCATCTCCATTCCTAGCTGCTATCCCATTTCTTGGGTCACATCTGCTCCTTAATTGAAGCTGGTAGGTTCTCACAGTCTAATCAAGGCCAGCTGGTGAGGTGGAAGGGGAGAAAAAAAAGAAAGAACAAAAAAGAAAAACAGAAAAAGAGAGGAGGAAAAAAAATCGGAAAGCTTCAAAAATGACACAGCTACTTCAAAAGCACTCCAAGTAATTCACCTCATGCAAGGGGGAGAGAGGTAGAGGAGAAGCTCTGCTGCTCCATGGAGGAGCATCCTTGCATGCAGCTGGAAGAGAGGGAGATGAAGGAGCTGAAAGAGGAGGAAGTGCTTTGTCTCGCCAGCAAGGGCATATTGTGTCTCTCTGTGGAAAGGTCTGAGAACAGGAAAAGATGACAGAAGGAAGGGGCTGAGCCCATCCAGATGCTTCTTTAGGACACAGAAACAGCGAGGCAGCCAAGGATGCTGAAAATAATCTTTTTCAGCTGAGAAATGGGATTTATTTGCTTTGCACAGGGACAAGCTCTGGGCCTATGTTATCACCTTGTGACAGGAATATCTGACAGTACCTATGCAGTAAAACATCGATTACATTTTCACTCTGGCACTAGAAAATGCCCAACAAGTCTAAAACTTGCACATGGCTGTGGAGCTCCTGGGTTTCTGGAGAGAGAAACAGGGCATCCTATCACTGCAGAGGACACAACACTGTGGCAAGGATGCTGCTGCTGAAAGCTGCTGATGGATGGACAGGTCAGCAGCAACACAGAGCCAGACCTCAGTTCTGCCCTCTCATGCCTGCTGGGGAGCCCACACTTCAGACACACACACACAAATATATAAAATATAAATGTATGTAAATATACAATTCAGACTGCAAACCCTAACAGGTAACTACACAGTCTTTAATCTGCAGCTTAAACGCAAAAACAAGGCTGTTGCAATGAGCCAGTCATCTGGCTCTGCAGAACTGGGAACAGTGCAAGGTGAAGTGCGGGACGGGGCCTGCTCTGAAGTGCAGCAATGCGCTGCCCTCCTCACCCCGTTAGCAGGCACTCAGCCTCCTTCCAGGTCTCTTCCCATGGACTCCAGCAAGGTGTCCCCTTAAACAGTGGCCACGTTCCAGATGGCGGGATACCAGGCTCCAGGAGGGAGGAAAACCCCTCTGTGCAGGCAGGACTCCAGCACCCCTGGCCAGCGACTCTGTGCACCCGCACAGACCCCTGCCCTTCTCACAGCTGCAGGAGCTCGTGGGGCACCGCGGGCCATGAGAGGGTGGCACCTCACAGCTTTAGGTGCCTTTTAGAGGGGCCCTCACGGGCTCCTCTGGCACTGTGTCCAAGACGCTGCTGCTGCGGGATGCCGGGGGAAACGCAGTCACCCGCCTGCTCATGAGGAGCAAAGCAAACCAGCCCCGCACAAGGGGCTATAGCAGGTGGAGCAGAAAGGCCGGCAGCCCAAAGCAAAGCCAGGCTGCAGGCAGCCCCCGTGCCGCGAGCCAGAGTGGGTGCTCTGCGCTGAGCACCCCTGCGCCAGGATGAGGAGGGGCATCCAGCAGAGCAGTGCCAAGTGCCAGCGGTGCTGGTGGCTGCCCTGACAGCCTCTCCTCCTCTTGGTTTTGCTGGGGGTGCCTAGCACTGCAACACACTGTACTGACTGGCTGTGGCCAGGTTTGTAAATATTTAAGTCTGGCTTTACTTTAGCCCTAGGGAAGGGAGGAATGTTCTTCCTCACAAGGGTCAAAGGGCTTGGTGGAGAGACTAACAGCTTCCTCGGTCTGTTACTTTGCAGTCCTGCTCTGGCACAGCTCAGAGGGGGTATTCAGTGATCTCTGCAACACTGTCTGGTCTCTGCAGACTCCTGTCAAGTTTCAAAGCCTCCAGAAGGTATCCACCAGTGCCAGGGATGCTTCCTCCACCAAGGATGAAGTCAGAACATCCCAGCATGGCAGGAATGCATTGTGAAAAGTTTTTCTCTTGTAGGGTAAAATCAAAAAGCCCTTTTTTTTTTTTCCTTTTTTCTTTTTAAAAATGGGGTGAATGTGTCTTATTGCAGACACAATAAGACTTATCACTCTTATTGCAACTTTTACCCATTGTCTGCATAGCTAATTTCTCCTTTGGATCCATGGAGGAAAAAGATGATGTTGCCATAAAGCTCTTGCAGCTGGTAAGGATGAAATGAGAGAAAAAAAAAGGCTCGTATGAATTGACTGATGCACAGAAATCAGACAGGAATCAGAAACAAACTTTTTTGGTTTTGTTAAATCAGTATGCGCAGAACAGGGAAAAACAGAGTGAGAAGATCCATCTTTAAAAGCTCAGACAAGAGCTGAGAAAGGTGAAAATCCTTGACACCTTGGTACAATGCAACTATGCATGACACACATACAAGTGCCACGTTGCCACTGTCTCCTGAGGACCATTAATAGCACATCCTGGTCAATTCCCAATGCCCACTGGTTTTGAAAGGACTGGCAGTGAGCTGAGGAGCTCACCCCTGACTCATAGGCAAGCCTGCACTGCAGAGCCCAGCCGTGCAGCCCTCCATGGGCTGCTGCACTCAGGTTTCCATGCAGAGGTTGACTCCCTGCAACACTTGCCCTGCTGCCAAGGTTTTCCATGCCCTGTCCAGAGCAGGGTTGCTACAGGTTGGAGCCAACAAAATACCTGGACCTCACTCTCTGCCCTCACAAGGAGGTCCCTGATCACCCAGCTGTGTTTTCCCTGCCCTGTTCTCTGCTAAGTGGGGAGCTCAGAGAGCTGCACCCTTGAGTCCACAGCACGACAAAAACTCCACAGTTTAAGCTCCGGGAAAGACCATAGCTGCTCATCCAAGCTAAAAGCTCTTCTGTTAGCATGAGGATAGGAAATCACACCTGGGCAATTCGATTCCCCCTCCTGTAGCACCCACAATCCACACTCCAAGAACACACGAGGCACCAGTCCAAGCAGAAGTCCCCGTGGAAACAAATATCTGACTAATATTCACAGGCCCAGCCTCCTCTGCTTGTTTCTCACAGATGACATATCCAAGTAGTTAGAAGACGGGCATGGAAAAAAGCTGGCTCAACCCATCTCAGCTACAACCCAGAATCACTTACTTTCATCTATGCCTTCTGCCTCTGCACTTCAGCCTCCTCATGTATAAAGAGATAAAACATTTATATTCACTAAGTGTTTGAAAAGCAAGTTGCAAGTATTGTTATTTCTAATAAAATGTATTCAAACTAATTTGTTTTCTGCTAGACAAGTGTGCAGAGAAACCAGAGAAGCAGAGCTCGGAGCACAGAAGGCTTTGCTCTGTGCTAGCTGACTACCTTTTCGAAGAGGAGTGAATGAAATACATGCATTAGCAGCTTTTCTGCTTTCCTCTCCTCTGAACTTTCCAAGCCAATTAGCTCAGCCAGTCTTTACCTTGCTTTAATACAGAGGGCTTTACTTAAGARCTTCCTCTTTTGCATGACAAGCTGCAGCGATTAATGTGCTAGACTCCTGCTCACTTTACAAGGTGGTTTGGAAAGAGTTTATCCTGGATGGGAATTTAAAGACCTTTTTCCTCACAGAGATGCCTTCTCCTCAAAACAAAAACAGAATGGCCCACACATGCTTGAACTCCACCAAGACTCACTGCCCAATTAGTTCATGCTAACAAGACACTACAAAGGCAAGAATTCCCCTGTGGTGCAAAGCCACCTCATTCCCATGCCTCGCGTACCTTCAAGGTCCCGGCTTCAAAAGAGTATGCTTCCCTAACTGGAAAACCTAAGTAGGAAAAGATGGTGCGTGTGCAGAAGACACATATATTTGTATGTGAAATATATACTGATTATCATCCTCCCCTCACCCACACATCACCCAATTAGGTAAGTTATGCACAAGAGAAATAAACAGGGTGAGAGGGAGCATGCCCACCTCAGAGAGCTAATGTCTTCAACCACTGCCCTGCCAAAGGCATAACTCAAATCCTGATTTTACCACAGACTTGTAGAGAAGCACTGCCTCTAACTCATAGCCAATTTTGCTAGGCACAGTCCAGCAAAACAGAACAATAGCTGGGATGAATGTGGGATTCTCTTGCTGACCTACGTTACCCACAAGAGGAAGGT